GCATTTCTTCATAGTGTTTTGAAAGAAGAAGCGTACATGCAACAACCCAAAGGATTTGAAGATCCCTTACAACCACATCATGTTTGCAAATTAAAAAAGGCGATTTATGGACTCAAGCAAGCTCCTCGCGCATGGTTTGAGAAATTCGTTTGTCAACTCTATAGTATTGGTTTTCAAAGAAGCAAGGTTGACTACTCTCTATTTTTGAAAAGACCATCCTCAGGAATTATCCTCTTTCTAATTTATGTGGATGACATCATTGTTACTGGAAATGATATTAAAGCACATTGAACATATTAAGAAATAATTGAAATTGAGCTTCGAGATGAAGGATCTTGGAGACTTAAAATATTTTTTGAGTATTGAAATTCATTGGACAAAAAAAGGCATTGTCCTAACATAAGCATATTCTTGTTTTACTCTCTAAAACAAGGATGTTGGGATGTAAGCCTATTTCCACCCCTGCTGAAGTAAATAAGAAGTTAAGGACTGAAGAAGGGACGTTGTTATTTAATCCTTCCTTGTACAGAAGTGTCGTTGGTAGTCTTTGATATCTCACATTCACACGCCCTGAAATTGCTTATGCAGTAAATACAGTATGTCAGTTCATGCACGCACCCCAACAACCTCATTGGGAAGCCACAAAAAGGATTTTGTGGTATTTAAAGGGTTCTGTACATGATGACTTATTCTATATTTCCTCTAGTTCACCTAACCTCAAAGCATATTCCGATGCTGATTGGGCAGGGTTCCCTAATGATTGTACATTCATTACAGGATTTTGTATCTTCTTGGGAAATAGTCTAATTTCTTGGAGTAGCAAAAAGCATGCCTCAGTATCAAAATCCAGTACAAAGTTCAAATATAGAGCAATAAGTATTGTCACGACAGAAATTACTTGGCTACATATGCTCCTTAAGGAAATTGGTGTTTCTACAATTAAGCCAACTATTCTAGCTTGTGATAATCAAAGTGCTATGCGACTAGCCATCAATCCTATCTTTCATGCTCGCACTAAACACATAGAAGTTGATTATCACTTCATTCGAGTAAAGATTGTATCTTGTGCCATTTCCATGGCCTTTGTTCCTTCATCCCATCGGCTGGCAGACATGCTTACTAAAGCTCCGACGAGACCAAGACACCGTGAGTCCACATACAAGCTCTCAATGCACAAGATGCATGCTCGGCTTGAGGGGGGTGTTAAGAGAGAGACTGTCTTTACTCTTTAGTCATATTGTGTAGTGCATCATTTCATTCTTTACCCTTAAGGATAATTCTGTCTACCATATATACACACACTAGAGTTTTCATAATCTTTCAAATAGGACCCGAACTTTAGCTTGGCCGGTTAAGCTGCTGGCCTTGCAGCATGAGGTATTGAGTCTAAATCCCGCAGCTTAATCACCCAAATTATAACATATACAAATAAAAATAAAGTGGCGGGGTTTACATCTATTGCAGTCACATGGCCATTTTTTATAATTTTTCTTATAAGTAGAGAAATTATATAACAGGAATTCATGATAGATGAAGGAAATTCATAGAACAAGATAATCAATTCTATACACAAATCCAGGGGACTAAATAGGAGTTTCAGAATATAGACTGAGAAAAAATAGAAAAATTTGAAATACACATTAAAAAAAAAAGCAAAAAAAAATATTCTGAAGAAAATGTACACGAAGTAAAATAACTAAAAACTAAATAGGAGTTTCAGAATATAGACTGAGCAAAAAAAATGAAAATTTGAAATACACAAAAAAAAAAAATATTCTGAAGAAAATATACACGAAGTAAAATAACTAAAAAAATGGAAGCTTAAAAGCTAACCAGATGAGAGGGGCTCATTTTAGATGTTAGGGCAGCTTCAACCGCTTCCTTTGTTACTCCCATCTCTCCCTCTTGACCAGAGCCGAGTTCTCTCTGAATAAACCTCCAGTTCTGTTTTTCATCTTTTAACTTTAATTTATAGGAAATAAACTTTGAAAAGAGCCCCTGAATTCCTCTAATGACCCTTAAGTCCTAACATTTACTATTCAAATATGGCTCATCTTAAAAATCCACCGAAAATATTATTTGAACGCTAAAAACCCCTCAAATTCATCATCTCGCCCTGGGTATATAAGGGTATGAAAAGAAAAATTAAGTACATCATGTAAAGCATTATATGGACGGTCTGTTTTCATAATTTTTCTCATTTACTCGATTTTTACCATTTGTAGAGCTTTTTATTTCATAATTAAGAATGACAATATATTTTCATTCCACTATAATGTTTATCGGCACAGAAGTTGCACCTTTTGGTATCATTTGGGTTTAGAAGAGAAACGGCAATTTTCTATAGTAAAATGGTGTTTTGCTAAAGTAAAAACACCTTTTTACTAGAGTAAAAACAATGATTGACCGACTCGAATCGGTTTTTTGCCGGTTCACTATTTTTGCAAGTGTTTTTTTGTCGGTTGACTATTTTTTTTTTGCATAGTAAAACGCGATTCGAACCCCCACTTCATCGATACGGATCGCTTTTTGTGATGTCGATCTTGGTCACTGATCTATTTTTTAAATAACTGCCTGATACTGTTACATATGGGTGTCAGACCCTCCTTAGCATGGTTATTTATACCCTTTTCTCACCTTGGGACAAAATAAAAATGAAAAGTTCAAAGATCATGGCCTCTAAGTGTATAACTTTCACACGTACCAATTAGTGTGTATTTGGTTTGGCATAAATAATGAAGTGTGATTGGGTGGTTTTGGTATCTACCAAGGGACAGTAAGACCATAAAAATAAGAAGTTCACAGTTATTACCGTTCATTAGATGTCAAATTGGATTGTTTGGAGTATGTCTCAAAGTTCATATTTTTTTTTTAAAATGAATTTTGAGTTTAGTCAACCGCACTCTTGCAACCACCTGATTTGAAATTGCATAGACAAAAGTAGATCAGACATCTCTGTACCAAAAGTAAATTGTCTCTTTATGCATCTTTTCAAATATATAACAACCCTATAAATTACAATTGTGGAAAAGTCCTTAAATATTATGTCATTACCATCTAATCAATGTAAGGAGAGCGATGGAAAGAGATGGGAATCGATGTCATTATCTGGTGGGCTCTAGTGTCTCTCCAACATTGCCCAACATTGCCCATCTATGGAATGAACGGCGATTGCCTAAGAGGGCTCGCATCGATCGAATCGCATCGTACCTTTTCTTTACATAAAAGAAAGAGAGAATATGATACGGGACCACAGTTTAGATAACGGTATTAGAACTCATACTAAGGGCCGTTTTAATAGGTAATACTAACAACTTCTTGTAAGTGACGTTATATAAGGCCTGTCCTTCATTCCTAGTCTCTTTCAACTCGGACCGCTGAAAATTCGTACCCCTTCTATGATGAATTTAATCAGATTATAGTTATTTATTCTTGGACTGGTTTCCACTCCTTAGCTACTGCTTAATAAGATAGATGGTTATTTACCTTTTGTTTGTTTCTTCTGTGGATTCTTTTATGCGAGAAAGATATTTGTCTCACTTTGAAGTAGAATGCTCTCTTTTATGCGAGAAAGATATTTGTCTCACTTTGAAGTAGAATGCTCATTTACTCCCTCAGATAAAACCCAATGCTCATTTACTCCCTCATATAAAACCCTCCCTAAAGTTAATTTTAGAACTTCTAATTTGGGGATGTAAGCTCTTCTACCCATAGATTAATCTCAATAATAATAATAATAAATCATATTTGTACTCTATGTACACCTAAAAAAAATACTGTATCGAGATTGAATAGGGACCATCCAATTTTTAAATGGTGAGATCTAAATATTAGGAAACTCAAATTTGAAATTTTTTTGTGAGGATAATTATATGGTAGTTCTTGTGGCTACCAAAATTTCGATCGAGAAAATCCTCCCAAGTAATCTTCTGATCGAGGGAGTAGAAGTAAATTATGTTGTTGGAGAAGCATAATATATACATGCTCTATTTTTAGTATAGGTGCGGTTTGTTTAGAGCCTAGGCTCTAAACAATCTAATTAGAGCCTACCTTCAAATAGTGTCGAGAAATATGGTTTTAATATCGGAAATCTTTTTGATAGTCTTAAAATATATTTTCATCTTTATTTATAAAGTTTAAAGCTTCAAAAATAATGTAGATCAAGAGATCTATAAAAACTTGAAAATCTTGAAATTTGACGGTCCAAAAGAGTGTTACAAAATACACTATTTCCAAGACTTCAAATCCATTTTTTTATCATGCCTATACATCTTGATATCGAGATGATGAATTTGAGGATATTTGAGCATCAAAACAATATCTTCTAGTTAAATTTTTAGGTAGGCTCGAATTTGATTGTTTATAGCCTCGGCCCTATATAAACTTTTCCCTTTTAGTATTAAGTCATTTTTATGCTTTTCTTGTAGCCTTACTTTTAGACACAAATATTCCTGTGGTTTGTTTTCATAGGTCTTTTTGGTGTTAGAATCATTGTTTTTTCACTTTTGGTTATGTTTTTATGTGTCTTGTAGTGTTCTAAATCACGGTTTTTCTTTATCAATTACCTAAGATATTAAAATTTGTTTTGAGGTTAACCCTTTTAAAAATTAATTTATATCTTAATTTTAATCTTTTCTTGTATTTTTCTTTCAGTTTTTTTGCATTTTGCATTTATACTGGGTTCTTTTCTTATATTTCATTTGAAGTCTAAAATACTTTTATTTTCTTTTTTTGGTAATGTAGTGGGGAAGATAAGCCCTTACCCATTTTTTTCAATAGATTTAGGAGTTATATTTTTTAAGATGTTAATAGGGTGATATTAATGGTAGGAATGGAGACCGCAATGTGATGACTAGGTGTGGGGATGATACCACCACGATCCCAACCCCTTTCGTAAGTCTGAAATACTTGCTTATGAAAAAAGTCAAATTAAAGTTAAAAGTAAAATCACTGTGTTCAAGAGCATAATCATCATATTTGATGTAGTGAGTGGACTTTTGAGTTGTGTTCAAGCAAAAGATTGAGGGGTCCATACATATTTGTGCAAAATATTGGACCGCTGTCTTCTTCTTTGGTCACCTCGAGACCTTTATCTGCACGGGATTGTCTAATTTGGGCTTTCATATGGATTTTAATTAAGGGAATTATTAAGCCTGCACCCTATATTTATCTAGCCAATAATAGTGGTTGTTTCTCGACAGTTGGAAGAAAGGGGACGGCCTATAGCCAGGATGCCTTGATGTTCGAATTGAATAGCTGGGTCTCACCCTTGAGGCAAAGAACCCTTGCTTAACACCACCCCCCGCTATTTACCTTGTCGCTCGGTTGCTAAACGCGCAGCGTAATGAATCCACTCCCCCCGAATGGGGAACAAGAAAAGCGTAGGGGGGTAGCGTTCCACCTCTTCCAACAGCAAGTTCAATGAGCGAACAAGGAGTGAACAGTTTGAGCACCCCAACCTAGCTTCCTTGTTGATATCCTCCTCTCTTTCCAAAGCCTAAACCTATTCTATAGCCCCCCGGTAGGAGAGCATCATCTAGCATCTCCACTGCCCTATTTATTTGTTTGTGATTTATTTCGTGCGTTCAACCTTTGGGGCAGAGTCTAATCATTTATTTTTAAGTTAATAATGGGTAGTTAGGATTAAATAGAATGGACGGCTAGGATTTCATA